TCCATTTTCAGGATTCTTTTGCGAGTCAGAACTGGAAAACATTGTACTCAAATCCCTGCACAATGTTGACAATGTCCAGTATCCCACTGAACAGTATCACAAAAGAGAAAAATCATTCAGTATGCTGTCTCAAAAATTGTCTTCAGATCAGTTATGTATCACATCACAAAATCTAATATGCCTTGTTTTTTGCACAACAAATTCATTTCGATATAGTCATAGAATTTCTTAGCAACAAAAGGGAAGAAAAGCAAATCTTCAATTCTCATTTTAAAATATATTTATTTCTCAAGTTTTTGTACATATTACTACCCATTTCCTACTGAACAAATTGTAACATGATTTTGTAAAATTTATTTCATGAGATAAACATGATATAATGGTGCTGTTGCATCTGATGCGGTTAATACTACATCCCATTACACTTTTAATTTTTTTGTGGACAGGGAAGGAAGCTGAAAAAGCTATCTGCCTTAGGGCACAAGTTGGTTCTCCATGCCCCTGATAATGTTAGCAGAATTATGATGATCACGCCCAGGGGACCTACAATTTATTGTGAATAGCAGGTCTTGATGGAAGCTGACATTCCCCACATCCATATCATGGAATGGAAGTTAAGAAAATTTATATTTTTGGCATAAATCAGGAGGTGAAATACACAACAAAGGGTAAACACATGGATACTGTTTACTCATTAAATTCATGTCATACACATGTGTAAAAATGTCAAGTATTATCCACACACTAGTTATTGATAATATTAACAAAAACATCTTCATACTACAGATTAAACTAATCTTTTCATATACTGTCAATAAGCTTGAAACGAGTATGCTGAGGCTCTTGTATAACATTAAAATATTTCTTGTAAAACGTTTGACTGTTTCTTCCTTCATAATGCTTCTTGACCCAGACGTGTTCCCAATTTAGATCCACTTTCTCACAAGTAACCATTACTTTTCCAGATTCAATAGCAAACAAAGTACCATCCCTTCCAAATCCAACATTTAAGCCAGGATGGAATCTCAATGTACGCTGTGTTGCTAAGATTGTCCCAGCTTGAACAAAACTACCATCTTGAACTCTCCATCCTCGATGCTTGGGTCGGCCATGTCTCTTCCGGTTCCTGCTGGAACTACCTACAGAGTTAAATAAAATTCAGTGAAGAAGGTAGCTGCAAGGTGGAAAGTTCCCTTCAAGTATCTGAACCCTGCCTTCGTCATCGCCCTGATGACGGAGGCAGTATGACCTCTGAAACGTTGGTGGAAATCTACCAGACTACACGGCGCAATAACCCAGAAGACAGCAATCATTTTTCACTGTTCTTATTACTTTGTCAACAGGTTTTGTCAGTTTGGCATATGTTGGTTGTTTCTGAACAAATGATATAATGGAAGTAGTATCTCTCAATACTGTTCAGTACAAATAACTTTCCTGACTAGTTTAATACAATGGCAGTTTTTTGCCATAGTTCTTTCTGAATTTGAGTATCATTGTACTTCTGATGGAATAAATCATAAATGTCCCAGTATTTCTGTATGCACACGATTAATTTGACTGTATGTTTCATTTTTAAAAGAACTGTCTCCTGTCCATTATATTCAGATTGCCTCAAGCATGCAGAGACATATAAATTACTGTCTTTAAGATTGTTGGACTGTAACGTCACCGACTGTAAACAAATCAATGTGAATACACGAAATACTTTTTCATTACGTTTCCGAAACAAAGACGTGCCGTATCGCTGTGAATCAACATTAAAACTCTTTGTATTTCTCATCTACCCCACCCGTGCACATGCCCGTATCAACCTTAATGTAACCACCCTAACAATTGGTGAAGAGTACAAATAACGAATATCCTATAATTTCCTCTTTAGTCCAAAAATTATCCTCGGTACTTCCTTCCTAACCTCCCCTCATTCCATATTTTTCCCTTAGTGTGAGAGCACACATGCATAAGTCTGCGAAATGAAAAAAAAAAATCATGTTGGGAAGACAGTGCATATAAGTACATGTCAAATACAATAATTACGTTACGCGGTACGAAAACTCACCTGCCTTCTTTGAAGCCCATCGAAATAAAGAACAATCTGCTACAGGTGGAACTTTCAGCAATTGTGAATGCAATAGACACTGCCTAAGAACTACTGACGCCATATTTATAAAGACTGTATTTCTATGCGCGTAACGACAGACAGGCAACGTAATAGGACAAATGTCTCTCATACATACATACATCTCTTCAGTAACTTACTTCAAAGGTAATAATTGTTAACATTTCATAAGGCTGGTTGTATGCCGGTTTTTAGTCAGAAAATCCCTAAACATGAAAAGTAACTCCGTGGAAGAATGTCGTTCTTAAGAAACTGACAGAACGTCAGGTAGTAAAGAAATACACAACTTTTATGGAACCAGAAAGTTCATACCGTGTTCACAAAAGCTCGCCTCCGGTCCAATTTTGAGCTGGAAAGCTCTAGTCTACACCATCCCACCCGGTATCATTAAAGATTCATGTTGATAATATCCACCCTTTAGGCCGTGGTCTGCTGGGTGATCTCTTCCCTTCATGCTCTCTAGCCAAAATTTTGTACAAATTTCTCATCTTGCCCATACTAATCTTAAGGGCAGTATGCTGCAATCCTCCCATGAAGTGATCCTAGTGCTTTGGAACTGCTGTTCCAAAATATTTGAACTTTACCACAGTTCAAAGGATTTATTATCCATCTTCATGTATTTTCCAGTAGTCTACTGATGTCACAAGAACATAGTTTTCTCTATTTCCTTTAGACCAACTTACAAACACCTAATACAGTTTTTATCTTTTACTTTACGGCACTGATGTTTTTGTCTCATGAACACAGACCAGAAGCTGATTTGTCACATTCATTCCAATTCCTCAATTTTTCAGAACTTCATAATGATATATTCCAACACAAAGTTGAAAAGCAATGGTGATACACATATCATCTTGATTTAAGCAATTCTCAACAGGAAATGAAACAGACAAATGTTTACCTGTATGGACTTTACAATAGGATCTGTTTAAATGCATTTTGATTACTTAACCTAACTAATCTCAAGCTCGCCGAGACCAGCTACAGCCACCAAACACGGGCAAGTTCTACTCCTGTGAATAACAGCATCTAGTACAGTGTCACTTTGAATATTTTGTCAAATACCCTTTTCATTTTAAATTCTCAATCCAGTTTGAACCATTTGACTAAATGTATTAATTTCCCTGATGCCACTGATGATAACCTCTTGAGGTCGAAATGCGTATGGCAATAGTGTCTTACTATAGTGTTAATAGTTGTTGGTTTGGTTACTGTATATCCTCTGTATTATACCAATATTATGTTGGACGTTGTTCATTCTCTGATGAAAATTTCGTACACACATTTCGAAACTTGCCTGGGCTTCCGTCTTCATGTGCTTTATTATTAAACTGAAAGATTTGTTTATTGTTTTTACACCGAAGTTTTGTTCGCTATATAGTATTTCCTCCTGTCAGGAAACTGATAAAAGCTCGATTTGCGGTTCATGTATATCGGGCCGATGCAAACCAAATTTAAACCCACGTGACAACTTGAGGCGGCGAAACGACGTTCTCTTTGTGTGTTTATTAAAGCTACTTGGGAAAACTAAATGTAGATGAAAGAATAATATTAAAGTTGATGTTAGAGAAATATGTTGTGAAGAGGCTGACTGGTTTCAAATGGCTTAGGATAAGAGCAAATGACTGGCTTCCATGGTAAAGAACCTAAATTCCACACAAACCATGGAAGTCCTTGATAAGATGAGAAATATCAAGTATCCAAAACTGACCATGATCCATCAATTACTTAAAATAAAGTTCATAGGAGGAAAATAAATTAATACATTTCTTGATTTTGAGTTCAAAAACTTAGATCTTCTTGTCTGCTGAAATAAAGATTAAACTACATTTAAAAATGATTCAGCATGTTTATGCATCATTTAAATAGTCAATTTCTTATTTTAAAATACCATATGCAGAAAATTTATGGACACAGAAAAAAAGAATATTTTTATCTGAGGCAAATTAATGTACTGGATACAAACAAAAATGAGTGTTAAGAAATTTATATGATTATACAATTTGCATTTTAGTATAGTTTAGGTCATCAAATTAGGGAACTAGATGGACTGGGGAAACAGCACACACAAAGGAAAAAATACATTCACAGTTTTGATAAGGAATCTTCTTGGATTATGCTCACTTAGCCAAAACATATGATGATGATTTAGCTCCTCAGACATTACAAATAATTGCATAAATTTCACGCTTACAAATAATTTACATTCAAAGTTATTATACATATGTCATGTAATGATTGACTATTTTGATTTTGTAATTTGAAACAATTTTTTTTATAACTTTGGATGCAAAATATCTTCTGATTCTCCACTCAACAAACGTTTAAAACATAAAATGCCTTCCATAAGTGAAATGTATCTAACTTTCATTAATGAAAGTATTTTTATAGTATATATGGAAAATATGTAATCTACTTACATTGTTTATTATAACTGATAATTTCTATTAAAATATTAATCTGACAACAAATAAAGCAGACTTGAATGCATACACAGGCTTACTAATCATTTCCAGTTACAAGGATAAGACATTTGACAGTTCACTGGAGCGAGTCCCATTTCTTCTCAGTAATAATGTAATTTTAGATTAATGAAAATTTACATCAGATTCAATGTTAACAAAGGCCACCTAAGACTGGGTAGGATAGCTGTGTGATTTTTGGGTACTTCCAAATAATTTCTATACAAATACAGTACTTTTCTGACAGAATTACAGATAAAAACATTTCTGAAAACATATTTTATTTAAAATCTTATAGAATACTAGTGTATTTTGCAACAATATGACCATGATTACATTTCTATAGAATGTTCTTTTTTTATATTTCAACATGTACAATAAGACAATAACTATTTCTGTATGGGATACATCACATATAACTTAGATTTGCCAACATTTTCTTTACATGTTAGTGAACGTTTATGAAAGGCTACTCTCTGCAGTTTTAATATTTTTGTACTTGTCAAACTGTTATATGAATCTGTTATTTTTTGAGTTGCTTAAATCTCAGTTTCAAATTATGTCAAAGCTGTTTTTAACTAACAAATACAGTTACTATTATAATCTCCAAATGTAAAAGCCATACTATACCATGGCGAGAGCAATGGCACTGTCCTGTTTGTCTGTATTACACAATAGGAAAATAGGAGCTGTTATATACCCTCACTGCAGTGAACCCACTGTGTTTACAGGCTACTGACAATTTGTCCTCCATATTGAAGTAGATACATATTATATTTGTGTCCTGTTAAAAAAATAAAAGTAACTTCACAGGACCTATTGTTTACAATGGAAGTGATAGAAATCAGTGGCTTTCAAACTTATTCAACTTCCTCCTGCTGATCAAGCAGGTAATTGCACTAGTAATGCTCTAGATTTGCATTCAGGAGATACTTGGTTAGAATCTCAGCTGGACTAGGAACTATTCCTGATTGAGGTCTTTCTTGGTTGTTAGTACATTCAGGTATAGTACCTTAAAATATTTCATGACCACCACCTTCCAAATCCTTTCCAGTCAACAATCATTATGATCTTCCCATTTTGTGCAACACTATACAGATGAAACAGTGTTATTAAATAACCTAAGAAACATTCAAGAAACTAAAATTTACACTTCCACAGTGAAGCTTGGAAATGTCCCTGCAACTCTGTCTAGTATTAATAAGAATGTGTGAAGCTTTACACCATCCCCCTCCCCTGATGTATTCATGGCATTGTGCTTTAGTGCGAGGAAAACCTCAAGTTTTATTCTACCATGGAACATCACGGACAAGTGGTTTAACACTCCTGGATTCGAAGATCAGCCTGCCCAGAGACATATTATACTGACTGAGGTTGTGTACGATTACCCTCATTCCCTCCAGGTAAATTCTTTAATGGTACCGTTAAATAGGCTTTTACAGCTTCCTTCCACATACATCCAAATTCATCATTCAGTCTTAAATAAACTATGCAGTCAAAAAAGTGTCATACAATAAATAATCTGTAAATCAATCATTGTGACTGGATTCACTTAGAAGAAATGCAATTACAAATATATCCTATGCAGCTCAGTGTTAAAAACATTCCCATGGTGTTCTTTATTAAATAAATCTTCTTTTAATATATTTACATGATAACTTATAATTTCTGTTGTTGAAAAGTCATAGATAGCAGACGTCAACTTTTAAGATGCTGGTGGGACATGATTCTTTCCCTGATCTTCACTAACACCAAACAATTACAGACCAGAAGGCACAGTGCTTCTAAACAAAATATCTCATATGTAGCATAGGAAGGGTTAAATATGTCTGGTATAAACCATAAGGATATGATTCTGATACAGTACATGATAGCTGGTCCCACAACCTTGAATTATGTATGAATCTGTACTAATCTGAAAATTTGTTCACCGATAAATTCATATTAAGTCAAGACAAATCCCTGAATTCCTCAACAGAGTTTGAAAACCACTGAGAGCAACAGTTTGGAAGCAGGAACACTTTGAATACACATATATACATACACAGTTAGACTTACAATTATCCATGGAAAGGTTACTTCACTCTCAGTGAATCCATAGTTCAGCTACAATTATTTATTTCATACATTTCAGTTTGAGAATATGCATTAACTTAACAGATTTACTAATAGAAAAATAATTACAGTTTTCCAATTGCAGCACACAACTAAAAATGTTGTATTTTCCATACATTCTTGTATGTCAAAAGCAACCAAAGTGATAAGTCTTGCAACATGGATATAAATATTAAATAAAATGACTGTACAATATTAGTACCCACATGATAATGAAGATGTTTTCTGGGATGTTGTGTCACATAATCTGTAGTTGGTCAATTTCTACCACACTACACAATGCAACATCCCAAAATACAGCCATGTTCATACTCGTCACAGAAGGAACCTGAAATTTCAATTAGTATGATTTTCATCTGTTATGGCACTGCACTATGCTGGAAAAGCTTCCTCACATTTGGTAAAACTCACTGTCTATATCAGAGCAAAAATTTCCTTTACAATTGAAGCAGTAAGTCTGTCTGAACATCAACATTTGTTACCTATACCATAAAATGCTATATCAAATTAATGTTAGCACTATGGATATCTGAGAATCTAATCAGTGTTGAAAGTACAACAAATACCGTACCAGTACGCATACGTAAACTACAGCTATATAAACCATTTTTTCCATTTAAAAAACAAAGAGAATTGTAACATATATTATTTATTTTAACATCACTTAATATCATATAATCATGAACTGTTTTCAGTTTTAAAATGCTTGTAATAATTGATCTTACTGTTAATTTTGCTTACTCTGGTATGCAAATTTCACTTTAAACACTGATTTAACGGTAATATAACAGAAGTTACAATTTTGATCAAATCTGAATAAATATGGGATGGAACAGATGAAGTGCACAAATATACTGCCAAGACATGGCAAGAGAGGGTTGTGGTACAGTCAGCTAACATCATTATAGTTTATGCATCTTCACCACTTCTGAAATATGAACACCTTAGCTGTCTTATATCAGTCAATCAGACTACGACAATCACAGTTACTTCCAACAGCCAAGTCCTGAGATTAGAGAATCCTATGTGAGAAGGGGTGCAATGACTGTCATGCCAGCTCCGTGTACGCCCCTCTCGACTGCCGATACTGCACAATGGAGCTGGCACGCTGTTGTGTTGGCACAGGAGACATAGGCTGATAGTTTCTTATAACCGGAGTAACACGTGCGATCTGTGGGGAAGAGGGTGCCACAAACTGTCCTCTGCTGACATGCTGCTGGTACTGTAGGTGTTGCTGGAAGAACTGTTGCTGCAAGTGTTGGTGCTGCTGCTGAAGCTGCAGCTGCTGGTGATGATGCTGATTCTGTTGCTGAAGGAAAAGGTCACCATTCATGTGTAGATGGTAGTATGGTGCTGGCAATGGACCCTGTGGTTTAGATGGTAGTTTGCGATGGGCCGGTGTAGATGGTGCTGAACGGTTAAGACTACTGTTGGTACTCGCCGTCTCCCAGTCACGTAATAGTGCACACAGTCGAGAACGTTCAAGCGCAATCTCTTCTTCATTAGCAGAGTCATAATCTGGACCCTATAAAGCGTTCTCCATTAATACAATTTCACATTGTTATCTTTAAGGACTAGCAACTGTGATGAAACTAGCTGATAAGCAGAATGTTCATTTGTAAAGAACTGAAGCAAACAGAACCCTATAGATAAACTGTTTGTATCAATGAGTACCTCAGTCACATTACAGACATCAACAGTGTAAAGATTTCTGTCTTCTGGGTTGTTGCGCTGTGTAGTCTGGTTGATATATTCATATTATGTTGACTCTTTATATGCATAGAATTCCACTGAAGATTACCCCATTTTTTACTATCTAACCAGTGGTAAATAATTCAGTCTGGCTAATAGCATGCCACCAGATGCCAAAATTAGAGGGAAATAAAATAAATGTTTTACTACGTAACACAACAGCATAAAACTACTACCACTACTACTACTACTACTACTAATAATAATAATACACAATGTTATCATAAGGAGTCTGTGATACTGGTATTTGTTTTAAAATAACAATATGCAGCTTTAAACATCCATGGCAACACAAAGTCAGCAAACTCACCAACAATGGTTTGCTCTTCAGAACACTGTTTTGATACAAGTTTTAATTTTATAAAATAAATTACAAAAGAATTATAACAACTTTCAAACCTCTGAAGTTTCACCCTTCAAAGGAGTCAAATACAATGGTGATCAATTTTTATGGCCATTTTGGACAGTAGAAGATTTAAACGAAACAATTAAAAAAAATTAGTACTGCATCAGCATACATACATACACACATATATATACATAGATTTTCTATCTTTTCATCCAGCATCCTGAAGAAATCCATCTGACTAGAGGAAATTTCTCTGAAAAATGGAAGAAAGTAAATGAATGCAAGAATGACAGCTAAACATATACGAACAAAGTAATGATGCCTGAAGAAGCATAAAACATATCAGATACACGTGTTATTGATGATAATTATCAACTGGTAATAAGAGCAGTAGGAAATGATAAAACTACAGCTCTGATTGGTAAATCAATTAATGGATTTCATCAGATTGACACACTATTGATTTATTTAATAACACTTCTTCAACTACACACATTATATAGTGGTATGATCATGGATGCCCTAGCCCATAGCCCCAAAAATCTCCATATCTAAATCCCATGAACAACTTACAAAGGAGTGATATTTGTATCAAGTTACATCATATATTACACTTGCCCCACTAGTGGGCATTTGTTACAAGCCTCGTCTTACGGTATTAATTTTATACAGGTTTTTACAAATATGTGAACTAAATATGTATCTATAAGAGGCAGAGTTTCTTCTTAAACAGGATACCTGGTCACATTTCGTTAACACCTTGCGAAATCTAGCTCAAACTAATTTAATTAATTTTGTAAAAATAATGTATGAGCCGTGATAGCTCAGTCAGTATAGTGACTAGCTACGGGCAGGAAGACTGGGGTTCGATCCCCGGCGGGGGCAGAGGATTTTTCCTCTAGCCTCTGCGTCCAGACCGGCTCTGGGGCCCACCCAGCCTCCTCTACAATGGGTACCGGGGTCCTTTCCCGGGGGTAAAGCCGGCCGGGGCGTGATGCTGACCACTTACCCCAAGCGCCTGTATGGCACGTAGCAGGACAAACTTTAAAAAATAATGTAAGAAAACTAAGGGAAAAGACAAAATTAGAAAGGCAAGGCACTAAATTGATAGTTAAAAGAATCAGCTTTAACTACCAGCCGGCCATGCATTTAATCCATAAATCAGTACAGGTTCTACTATTTACTACTGGCAATGATTACTTAATGTTTCTTTTGACGCTGGTTTTCCAGAAACATAACCCTGATGTTAAATGATCATAGCCAGTACTTGCAGTCAATCCTGCCCTGTGACTGCTGCCGGTTGCTCACCCTACCAATCTTCATGCTTCCGAACAGCTTACATACAGTACTGTTCGACTTAATGAAGACTGGCATTTTATTTATCAGATTAGATAACTGTGTACTGATTACTGACATACATAGAAGACTAAAAGTAGGATATTGCTTAGCAAATAGAGCTCCATTTGAAGTTTACCAGATTGAGATGCTTACGTCTGGGCCAGCAGAGGGCCAGGCGATGATGCAACAATTTGTCGAATTTTGTTCCCAGCCTTATCCTCTGCGTCTTCTGCGTTGCCTGTGTTGCCCAACCCAGGGTCTGCCTCCTCAGCCTCCTCATCACTGTCAGGGTCCACACCTAGAAGGAAAAAGATTATCCAATTTATAGGTCACAATTTCCAGCGAGAAATTTTATAATTTCTGCTTTTGCTACAGTAAACAAATCAAGGACAAAGACTGAGCAGGTTGATTTGTTGTTATTGCACCTGATTTGTAACTAATGTCCACAATAATATCACACGTGTTTGAATGAGCGGGCAGACACATGATAAGCTCTCAAAAAGTGGTTTTGAAGGAAAAATGGTTACCCTTTTACTTTTAATAAAGAGTAAAAAAAGGCCTTTAAGTGAGGGTCTTAACTCGTATTCACATATCATCACATCTTTAAATTCTTACTACTATTACCACTACTGCAATAAGAATACAAAAATATCAATTTTATGATAATAACAACAGCTTTGTGTAACTGAACCCAAAGTTTCAACACCACTGACACTGAAGTCCATCATTGAACACGAATAAGTTACATCCACAACCCATCTTCATAATCTGTCTACTTAAGATCCATCTTAATGCTGTCTTATCATTTCCTCTCGGCACTAAATGGCGGTGATTGGCCAGCAACACGCCCCAGCCGCGTTTTACCCCAGGGAAAGGATCCCGATACCTATTGCATAGGAGGCTGGGTGGGACCCAGAACCGGTCTGGACGCAGAGGCTAGAGGAAAAATACTCTGCCCCCGTCGGGGATCGAACCCCGGTCGTCCAGTCTGTAGCCAGTCACTATACTGAGATAACTATGTAGCGTAAACTTCAAAACCCAAATTTAATCGAAATCCGTGTAGTAGTTTCTAAAATGAAAGATTCTGAAAAGACGGCAACACGGTTTCCCGTTAAGCACCCACTTGCACTGTGTTCCGTCTGTCTATGACTAGAACAAAACATGACAGAAACAGATTGTCAACAGCAGTACTATTTCCGGCACGGGATAAGCGTCCTTGGTCTCAGGTTCACCGACACACGGCCTCTGTTTCCGGGGGGGTTGCAACACACAACATTCTCATAAATACGTAGTCGAAAGTAAATTGGAAATTATCATACTGCTATTTCTGTTAAAACACATGGCTAGTAAAGTTAGAAACATTCTATAACCTGTGCATGTACGAGGGTCGCTCATTAAGTAATGCCCCACATTTTTTTTCTCAGCCAATAATGAAGATAGAAAAGTGCACTTTTACATGCTTGAGATTTGATGTTTCCCGCGTTCGTGGACGGAGTTTCAAATGATTCCAACCGATAGCGGAGCTGTAGTGAACTGTTAAAATGGCGTCTGTGAACGACTCTCGTTACAAGCAACGAGCTGTAATTGAATTCCTTGTTGCTGAAAAAGAAACGGTGGTGAACATTCATAAACGTTGGTGTGCTGTGTATGGAAGCTGTGCAGTCGATAGGAGCACCGTTGGTCGCTGGGCTAAGAGAGTTAAAGCTTCAGGAAGTGAAGAAACCGAGCTCCGTGATCTGCCGCGCTCTGGGCGTCCTGTCACAGTCACCACTCCAGACATGTTGAACCGCGCGGATGCCATTATTCGTGAGGATCGGCGCATCACAACTCGACAATTGGCCCAACAGCTTTCAGACAGCAATGGAATTGTGATTGCAATTATCCAGGCTCTCGCATATTCGAAGGTGTGCGCAAGATGGGTTCCACGAAGTCTCACAGCAGACCACAGGATTCAAAGGAAAACGATTTCTTCTGAATTGTTGGAGCGTTTTGATGCTGAGGGAGAGGTCTTTCTGTCCCGGATCATTACAGGTGACGAAACCTGGATACACCACTTTGAGCCAGAGACAAAAAGGCAGTCAATGGAGTGGCATCAGCCTCAATCACCGAGAAAGAAGAAATCCAAGACAACTCCCTCCGCCGGAAAAGTCATGATGACTGTCTTTTGGGACAGTGATGGGGTCATTCTTGTGGATGTGATGCCAAGAGGTGCGACCATCAATTCAGACGCGTACATCAGGACCCTGAAAACCCTCAAGAAGCGTTTTCGACGAGTTCGGCCTCACAAGCATCCAGCAGAAATTTTGCTCCTGCACGACAATGCACGCCCTCACACAAGTCTGAGAACCCGGGAAGAAATCACCAAATTTGGTTGAACGGTGCTGCCCCATCCACCCTTGGCGTAAAACCGTACAAGTTGATGGGGACTATGTGGAAAAATAGTATGTGTAAAGGAAACATTGATTTATATTGTCACTAAATTTGAGCCATCTTGAATAAATATGTTCTGAGGAAAAAAATGTGGGGCATTACTTAATGAGCGACCCTCGTACGTCAGTGCGTCGCTGCCTTGGATTTATGTTATACCTATTAACTATTTAGCCTACTTTGCTTAGTTAGATTAGCACTTATCTAGTCAATTTAGTCGCATAGTTAAGAGAGTCAGGTTTTAGTCAAAGTGAAATCCAATCAGTTCCCGAAAAAAAATCCTTATTTCGCGTTACTGTTTATTTACATTTGTACTCTTTCGTTTACTTTTGCAAGAATTAAAAACCTCTATCCTGCAACTTTGAAAGGCCAAATTTCATATAAATATCTTGGTATTTCAGTGTTTGAATCTCTGTTACTCTCATTGAAGTATATTCCATCTCTTGCAATAAAAGTCTTCCCTTACTTTACAAAATTTAAAAGCGCATAAAGTACGTTAAATTACAGAGTAATTATTTGTTTTTGAGAGTCGCCATTTTTATTGTTCTTTTAAACGGAGATCCGCATAAATGAACCAGTTTTATGATGTGCAGCGTAGACTTCTGCGAGTCATGAATTCGAGTCCAAAGAAAGGCGTAAAAACATCTAAAATATGCTAATATAAACGTGTTTGAGTGGCACAGATTTATACGCGATCTGCCGAAAAGAAGTGAGACTCGAGGAAGATCCAGTAGTGGTTTACCTCGCCGTTCTATGAGGCCGCACTCCACACGGGGCGTCTGTCCAGCCTGCAAACACTGACACGCACCTGAACACTGGAAAAGCTAACACCCAAAATGGTTCATAATTCAGGAAATATATAGTACAACTTCTGTCAGTCTTATTTTCTCATGGCGACGTGTATGAACATGGCCGTCTTCTGGGATGTTACGCCGTTTAGTCTGATGGATACTGACAGACATTTCAGAGTTGTTTACTAAAGATCCAGAAGACAACAGTCCACAAACTGTCATCAGTATTAGTTCACACAAGAATCATATTGGTTCTTTCTTTCGTGGTTCTACTACGCGGGACGTCTGAAGAGTTAAAAGCCTGTGGACCGAGGAACCTGTGGTGAGTGGGGAGGGGAGCCTCTTTCCTCTATTATCGACCTCCTGTGGAACTGATCTCGCAGACAGCTTCCCAGTTTGCCTTGTCATATCTCTCATCCAACATTACAAACCGACGTGCCCATTTTTTAGCCCTGTGCTAAAAATCATCGACCAATCAACAATTTTACGTCAACTAAATCAATGTGTATTGTATATCCCTACATTTATGTTACGATCGGAAATTCAATTGAATTCATTTATTTAAATTTTGGCCAACAGTAAGAAGCTAATAACAGGCAAACGCTGATAATACATACAATAATAATAAAATAATAATTAAAAATATTACAAAAACAGATTAACTAAACATATGCGTGTACAGTATTAAATATATCAGCCAAATACAGTCAAACCCAAAATAGAAACAATATTATACACAAAGAAAAATAAATGAAGAAATGTTAATAAAAGCAAATAATCCACATAGGAGAACACTAATACAAATGTAAAACGCTAAATAAATACAAAAAACAAATAACCAAGCTAGATCATCTATCAAGACAACCTATCTAGATCATTTCCTGTTTAATGGGATCTGTATCCGCAGATTTCGTCGTTCACCAACAGTTTATAATTAATATACCGATAAAGTTCCACAGTAGTAGACTTGTGATATCACATTCTTTCAGTTCTAGAGTCTGTATTTAATTCTAGGTTTCTTCCAGTGCGCTAAGTTTCGTGGGTCAATTTAGAGGTTAATGTTTAACCAGGCGTTATAAAAGGCAAATGTTTTCATTATTTCAGTACAGTTTTCATTTTAAGAAAAACCCAAGCGAAGAACTTATGCTAGGGTAACATATGGCATCCAAGTTACCATAATTATATGATGCATTGCAGTATTTCGTCCAACTCTGCCGGTGATATTATGACAAAGAACACAACACGCGCAGACATTCCTTCCCTATAAGATTCTCTCTTTGACAGACATACGTGCGTGAAAGATAAACTCGTGACCAAGGACCTCGTACTTCTTCCGTGTGACTGCCTAATTGACTCGAAGAACGAGTATCGACCCAGCATTTTATATCCAAGTCACTCTTTGTAGTTAAGTTTTATGATGAGACGACGATGAGGTGTCTTGGTTTGATGGATGTTCAGCTCCATATAACTCTCCGCTTTATGCGGCAAACCAGTATCAAATACGAGCCTGGGCAGATCGCGGGTTCATTGCAGGATTTTATATTACTCATTGGCCATGATGCCCCATTCATTGTAGATAAAACAGACTGCAGAGATATAAATATTTTTCTTGTATTTCGATAAATTGAGGATGAAAGGGAAGATGATCTCCATGTAGAGATGAATAATATGATTAGTCGTCGCAATTGTCCTGGTTTTGCTCACTTCCTGTTTACTGTATTCTCTGTTTCTCCTTCGTTACTGCTTTCACCTCCTCTGGAACATCTGCTTCAAATGCCATGACAAAGCAGCTACATCGCCGTCACATTTTACAACTGAATGCAAACAGCGCACCGTAACGGTAGGTAAAATCTCCAACAACAGAGATTGGAAACACATGATCTGAAACAACTTTGACCTCTTTACATTTGTACGTACAGTGCCAAACAGCAGTTCTATGGCCCTGCACTTATGGAACACCTACACACAACGTTATTTTAAGTTTAACAAAAAAAGTTATAAAAGTTGCATATCTTTAAGTACAAATAACAGGCATTCTTCTCGTATTGCATAGACGCAACACACATTTAATGCGTCATAT